CAACAGGTGAATCCAATGAGGAAGTCCCCCGAACTTGGAAGCTATGAGAGTTACAAGAATTACTTTTCTAAAAAAGGGGCCCTCCCATTTAGGGGGAAAAGGTGAGGTGTGTTGGTCTAGGGAAGAGAATAATACCTGATCCCATGTTTTAATCAGCAGTGGGCATGAATTAACACATGGTTGAGGTAATGAGTAATTGGTAAAAACCCATAATAGGGAGTGTAGATGGGATAATAGTAGAGTAAGCAGGTGATCAGGAAGGGGAATGGTTTTAGGTGAGAGGCTGAGGGTTATAACTGGCCACCCACACATGAGTTTAAAGGGCAAGATAAAAGGGGGGCTTTGGGGGAGAGCCCTAAGACTAAGAAGAGCCAGAGGCAAAAGTTTTACCCAGTCAAAGTGAAGCTCCTGTGACATCTTAACAAGAACATTTTTAAAAGAGTGGTTAGTTTGTTATACCTTCCCTGAAGACTGAGGGTGGTATGGGATTTGAAAATGCCAGGGGATGTTAAGAACCTTGGACAAATTTTGGGAAATTGTGGAGATGAACTCTGTGCCATTTTCCAACAGAAGAGAGGTTTGGATTCCAAGCCAGGGGATGATTTTCAGAGAAGAACATTGGAAACTCTCTGGTCCCTCTACCTAGTGGTGGGAAATGCTTCCATCCACTCAGACATTGTTTCCACCAAGACCAAGAGATATTAAACTCTACTGACCATGGGAGTATGAGTAAAAATCCAGCTGCCAATCAGTTCCTAAATGGGAGCCTCTGGCCTGGTGGGTGGGGAAAGGGAAGCTATAGTATTTGGTCTTGGGATCTTACTTTTGACAGATTTGACAAGAGGCAGTGATAGTTTTTAAGAATTCTAAGTACTCATGGATGGGTTGGAGGTGAGCCTTGACAACATAAAACAGAGCTTTACTATTAGGATGAAAGAACTGATGTAGGTAGGGCAGAATTTGCTGGGTGTCAGGGGGTGTCTGTGAGAATGCAGGCTGTACTGTATAAAACCCCTGAGGTGACTGAGATAGGTTTGGGCTCTGGAATGCTGCTGTTCTAGCTTCATGGTCAGCCCAGTTATTTCCCTTGGAAATAATGGAACTGTTGGTCAGATGAGACCGACAGTGAATAATTCCTATAGCTTTGGGGCGATGGGAGCCTTTTAACAGGTCCATAATATAACCTGAGTTAGTTATGAATCCTCCTTTCATTGTAAGAAGCCCACATTCCATCCAGATAACTGTGTGGGGCAGGATATGAAAGGCATATTTGGAGTCTATGTAAACATTTAAAGAGTGTTCTTTTGCTAACTGAAAGAAACAGGTAAGTGCTATCAATTCAACCTGCTGATTAGTGGTATGGGCAGAAAGTGCCCCTGCTTCCATCACCCCTGTATCCGATATTATGGCATAACCTGCTCTACGGGTCCCATTACATAGAAAGGAGCTGTCATCTGTGTACCAAGTATAAGGGGCCTGGGACAGTTTGCCTGCCTGTATATGTGAGGGGTGGGGCAGTAGATGCTCTGAGATTTCTATGTAGGAGTGAGATGGGGAGTAATTAATGTTAGGTTGAGGTAGGAGATTTGAGATATTAAGGGGTGGGCAGCATTGGAAAGTGAGTGTGGCATCTTCTACCAGTGCCACCTGGAGGGAAAGAACTTGGGAAATGGGTAAGGTTTTAAGCGTTTGTAAGTTAAGAGGTGTAACAGATTGTGGCAGGAGAAGACAGTGTTGGGTGACCCAAAAGTTAGTTTTTTTTGATCCACAAACAAGAAGTTCAGCAACTGCTAAAGCACATAAGCAGAGTGCCCATCCCTGAGTGGTGAGGTCTAGCTTCTTTGACAGGTATGCTACAGGTGCAAAAGAAGGTCCCAGTTGATGTCCTAGGACCCCAAGGGCATATCTCACCTTCTCTGTTACATAGAGGTAAAAAGTACATTAACTCTGGGAGATGAGGAGCTAGGGCCCGGATAAGAGCTTGCAGGAGTCTCTGGAAGGGTTTCGTAATTGGCTGTAGAAAGGACTCATGCAGAGAGCTCAGAGCTGCCTCATATAAGGGGCGTGTGAGGGGAGAAAAAGAGGAGATCCAGGAATGCAGGGAGCCATTTATTCCTAGGAATGATAAAACCTCTTCTTTTCTGGAAGGAACCGCAAGGGACTGAATTAGTTTCTTTCTGTCTAGGGTAATAGCGTTTTGAGTTGGGGTTATCGTTAATCCTAAATAAATGACCTGATGGGGTAGACAATTTGGCTTTAGAAGGTGAGACTTGATTGCCCTTTTTGGACAGGAAATTTACGACTGGAAGTATCAGTTTTGCTGATGTCCAATGATGGGCTGCAAAGTAAAGTGTCATCCACATAGTGTATGAGTTTCGACTTAGGGAGAGACAATGAGAGCAGGTCAGAGGCTAAAGCCTCGACAAACAGATGTGGGCTGTCCCAGAATCCCTGGAGAAGGATAGTCCAGGTGAGCTGTGTGGAGATGTGAGTGTCAGGATCAGTCCAGGTGACTGCAAAGATGTTTTCAAATTGAGAGCTGAGAGGAATAGGGAACAAAGCATCCTTGAGATCTAGAATTGAGAAGTGGGAGGTTCCTAGAAGAATGGTGGAAAGTGTGTAAGGGTTAGGCACTACAGGATGAAGAGGGACCACTGCGGAGTTAATGAGCTGGAGGTCTTGAATGAGGCGATATGTTACATTAGGTTTTTTTAACAGCAAGTATAGGGGTGTTAAGGGGAGAAGAGGTGGGGCAAAGTGGGTTTTTTCTTAAAAGGCCAGAGAAAATAGGCTTAAGGCCTCCAAGGCTCTGGAGAGAGAGGGGTACTGAGCTTGAGTGATGTCCTTAGTAGGATCTTGTAATTGGACAACAATGGGGGAATGGTGCTTAGCAACAGAGGGGTTTTGGGTGTCCCAGACATAGAGGTCTACCTGCATGGCTGGTAGAGGAAAAGACACATTGGGGTTGAGAGGTTGGGAGTCTAGGAGAAGGAGGAGTGGAGTTCTGGTGTGTCTGGGGTAAGGTAAATGGGAGGAGCAAATGAAATGGAAGTTCCTACTTTTACTAAAAAATCCCTTCCCATGAGAGGTGCCAGGCAGGTTGACATGACTAAAAATGAATGAGTGAGATAAATACCTCTAAAAATACAGTTAAGTGGTGGAGTCTGCTGAGGTAGACAAGGCTATCCCTCTACCCCAACAATAGGGAAACTAGAAGGAGAGGTAGGCCCCAGAATTCCCTCAGTGCTGAGTATGTGGCTACGATGTCCAAGAGAAAGGAGATGGGCCGTCCTGACACCGTGATGTTTACCCATGGCTCCCTATTACAGATGACGGTTGTGGTTGGGTCAAAGGAGCCTAGACAGCCTCACTCGTCCATGGCCAGACCTAGATGATCAATTTGGGAATAGTCTCCATGCCACTACGTGCATGAGAACAATCTACTCCCCAATATCCTTCCCTATGGCATCTCGGACAAGGTCTCGTGGGACCAAGATGAGGATTAGGGCATGCTTGAGCCCAATGACCAGTTCTACCACATTTGAAACATGGGCCTGGCAGTTTTCGAGCTCTGGGTGACAAGGTAGCAACACGAACAACACGGATTGGGCGGTCTGTCACCTCGGCTGGTCGGGAGGCCATGGTTAGCACGTGACAGTCATTTGTCGTGTTGAGGTTGGGAAGATGTGGATTCCTAAGCAGGGGTTGAAATTGTGATGGCATGGGCTGAAGGGACAGCGCAGAAACAGGGGTTGAATGAACAATGACAGGGGCTCAAGGGACAGGGGTAGAAACAGGGGTTGAAGGAGTAATAGCAGGGGCTGAAGGAACAGGAGTGGAAACTGGGGTTGAAGGTTCAATGGCAGGGGCTCAAGGGACAGGAGTAGAAAGAGAGGTTGAAGGAACAATGGCAGGGACTGAAGGAAAAGGAGAAGAAAGTGTGGGTATAGTGGTAGCTGACTGACCACTGAGGTTGAAAAGGTGGGGTTTTATTAGTTGGGTTCAGAGCTGAAATAGAAGGTTCTTCCAGTACAGATGGCACAGCCAGGAACATGTGAGCAGGCACACAGCTTGCAAGGTCAGAGGGCTTAGGCTTAGAGCTTAAACAGTAAAAGGTTTGGGTGTATGGAAACTCCTTCCATTTGCCTGTATGCTGACAGTAGTTAGAAAGTTCCTGTAAAATATTGGGATCAAAAGTGGCATTAGGCGGCTACTTTAGATTTCCATCTAAATTGTAACAAGGCCATTTTTTGAACAAAGGTGGACACGTGTGAGAATCTATAGGTAGGGCATTAAGGCCTAGGGTTTGAGGGCCTCTAAAAGGCATCCCAGGGGGGAGGCTGGATTGATGGGCTTAGATGGCTTGCTTCCCATAGTTGAGAGCGTGAAAACACATGAAATGGCAGCAACACAAGGCCTGTTAAGGGACATCTCCCCCTATAGGTGGGGTGCAAATCAGCATGTCATTAGACCTGTGGGAGGATGGTTAGGCCTGTCTAGATCCGGTCAGGGTGACTAGAAACCCAGAGATGCCAGAGGCTGCTCTGAGTGGCCTCTCACAGTGAGGAAAAAAAGAAAGAATGATCTGAGGGACCCTGGGTCCTCAGTCACAGGTGGATAGGCCCCGTGCCATTCCAAACACAATCTCAACTGAGGGAAGCAATGCACAGACGAATGCCAGTGAAGGGAATGACCATAGCCTTGAAGACTATAAATGGTTATAAAAATGAACACATGTATTGACACGAATAAGATAAAACCTTAAAAATTAAAAAAAAAACCAAAAAGCAAATATTAAAATAAAAGAAATAGGGTAAGAAAAAGTCATCTATATGAAATGAAAATACACAGTCTGAATACTGTTATTGTGTTGTCTTTGAATTGTTTGACTGCTGAGGAAGGAGGAACAGATGCTACAAGTCATTTGATTATAAATGCTGCTGAATTAACCCAACCTATATATTTTGAAAATGACTTCAAAATTTGTGTCAAAAGATATGTTACTTTGTAGAAAAGAATTTACTTTTATTTCTGCAGGAAATGAGAGTCTGTGGTTTCCTTTTTACTTAAGAAAAATTACATTTAATCAAGGAAGACCCCTTTAAAATCTCCAGTGGAAATGAATGGCCCAGATGATCCTTCTCCTCTGATGAAGTTTCTTCCAAGTTCTACATTCAGAAAATCTCCAAGACTGCTGGTTGAGATAATCTGATGTAGGATGTCCTTCTCTATGTGTCGCTTTAATTGGTTGATGAATAAATCTGCTTCGGCCTATGGCAGAGTAGAGCAAATCCAGGCAGGAAATCTGAACAGAGATATATAGAGAGTGTAGGTAGAGTCAAAGAGATGCCATGTAACTGCCAAAGAAGAAGGATGCCCGAACATTGCTAGTAGGTCACAGCCTCATGGTAATAATTAATTAATAAGAGATTAATAAAAAATGTTGTCCTCTGGTCTCCACATATCTGCATTGGTCCTGCAAACCCATAATCACATTGCACACACACAAACACCATAAATCTTTGTTAGAAAGTAAATCTTAGTGCCATTACATTACCTGACATCTCTGGATGATTTCCTTAGAAGGCAATTCTTCAAAATAAAATGACAAATGGGTAACTAATGGGGATGAGGAAAGCATGGAGCATCTACACACACACACACACACACACACACACACACACAAAACATCAAGCTATGGTATGAGATACACATTGAATGATGATTATCCTACTTTTTACACCTCTACCAGATAAACAAAAACACTGTTTTTGAATAAACACGAGATCATTAATGTTTCTTATATTTTCTTCTATTAAGCTTTTTAACATTAACATTGTGAAATTGGGTTGACAGAACAGCAAATGTTGGGAGTACATTGTCTACACTTAAATTTGTATTCAGGAGGCAGACACATGAGGATCATGAGTTCAAATGCATCCCTGAATCATAACTAACATCTAAGGAAAACTGAATAAGAAACAAGAAAATCTCAGGAAAATCTGAGAGTTTGTGGAAATATAAAAAGAAAACCAATAGCAAAAACCCACCACCATTTCATAGACACTCTTACTTGAAAAGTATGATCACACACTGCCTGATATTTAAAGAAACAATGGACCACTTAGATGATGGGGATAACATTCTATGCATTACAGTAGAAAAATACCTATCAATAAGTAAAAACACAATAGATTAACAAAAATCACAGAAGAAATATAAAAACCACAAAATAAACTTCACTAAATGAGTATGTCACACATGGAATACTTTTGTATTTACCTCAAATGCTTCAAAATAGAAACTAAAATGCAGTGGTCTGAACCATTATTCTACAGTGAACATGTAAATAATTTACTACTATCAAGGCTATGATGAAAAATAAATAAAACATTATTTTTTTTCTTGATGCTGAAGACAACTATGATGTCTAAAGTCTTTAGAAAATCATTTTCAGGAAAAAAGTTGTCATCAATGTGAGTTTATCCATATGTCCTGACTTTGGATTGACTCACATAGGCTTTAAAATATTTAGAGCACTAGAAACATGGCTGGGCAGTTAAGAAATGTCCACTCCCAGGACCAAGGTCTCATTTTTGACAACTTCCTGGAATTTCTGCTATAAAATCCTCGGATCTAATATTATCAGAAACCAGCATACACATTCACATACCCACACAAAAACACACTGATATCACATAATCACAACTAAAACAACTCTTTAAACATTTTCCCTCATGAAAGTTTTTCCCTTGTAAGAATTCATTCCTATAATACAGGTGTTAAGACACCAAATGGCTTACAAAGTTTTTCTTCACCATGAAGCAATCAGGTAGGCTTGAAGTCTGAGAAATCAAGACTTCTAAGTGAATGGAATCATTTGGGAAGACTTATGAAATGCTGTCCTGCTGGAGGAAATAAGTCACTGGGAATAGGCTTTACTAGTTTACACTTTCTGCTTCATGCTGTAGGTTAAGGATTTGAGTTCTTAGCTTTCCATTTTAGCTGTCATGTTAGACACTTGTAGCCATAACTTTCTTTTTTTTTGAGAAAGTGCTTCTCTGTAGCTTTGAAATCTGTCCTAGGACTAGTACTTGTACACCATGCTGGTGAGACCCACTTGCCTCTGCCTCCTGAGTGTGGGATTAAAAGTATGCACCACAATTACCCAGCTGTGGTGTCACTCGCTTTCATGGTGATCCTGTATCCTTCTGGAACCAAAGGCAAAATTAATTTTTATACATTGACCTAGACATTGTATCATGACAACAGAAAAGGAACCAATATAAATCAATAAACTTTTATACCTGAATCAGTGATTCCATTTAATTGAAGAGAAATATAAAATCTAAAAGGGTTACATTATTGTTTCAATTCATAGTGCTAGTATTACAGCTCTGAAGGGAAAGTTATCCTGACTGTCAGAAGTCAGGCTATACCTACAACTATGAAATGAAGGTAGTCTGGATATCTACAGCTGTGTGGAGAAAGATACCCTGATTTGATGAGGGATTCCTCTCAGTGTGCTGTGATTACCATTAATGAATTAAAAAACTGCCTTGGCCTGTTGATAGGGCAGAACTTAAGTAGGCGGGGAAAACTGAACTGAATGCTGGGGGAAGAAGGGCACAGTAAGATAGATGCTATGGAGCTGCCAGAGACAGATGCTGGGATTTTGATCCAGTAAGTGACAGCCACATGGCCATACACAGATTAACAGAAATGGATAAAATTAATATGTAAGAGTTAGCCAATAAGAAGTCAGAACTAATGGGCCAAGCAGTGATTTAATTAATACAGTATTTGTGTGATTATTTCAGGTCTAAACTAGCTGGGTAGCTGGGAACCAAACAAGCGGCCTCTGTACAATACTGCTTGTCAGAAGTCAGGTTATACCTACAGTTGTGAAGGGAAGGTATCCTCTGTATGCTGTGAACATGTTTTATTGTCATTGGTTAATAAAGAAGTTGCAGGGCAGAATATAATCAGGTGGGATGAGATAGAGAGAGAGTAGGTGGAGTAGGTGGAGTAAAAGAGGTGCAATGTATTGTTGAAGCACAAAGATGCCAGAACAGAACCTTACTGAAAAGCCACCAACCTTCTGGTGAGATTAACAAAAATGAGTTAATTTAAGATGTAAGAATTAGTTAATAAGAAGCTTGAGTTAACAGGCCAACTAGTGTTATAATTAATATATTTTCTGTGGGACTATTTGGGTCTAGATGGCTACAGAAACTGCCTGAGCAGTCTCCAACTACAATCCTGGATATCTACAGCTGATAGGAAAGCTACCCTGACTGTTATTAAGTCAGGGTATCCCTGAAACTGTGGAGAAGAGGCATTCTGAATACTTATAGCTCTGAAGAGAAAGGTACCCTCACTGTCATGTCAGGATATACCTACAGCTGTGAAGGGAAAGTATACTGGACACCTATAAGGAGAAAGGAATCCTAACTGTTGAGAAGTCTGGCTGTAACTGAAGCTGTGGAGGGAAGGTAGCCTGAAACCTAGGGCTCTGAAGAAAAAGGTACCCTGACTGTTAGAAGTCAGGCCATACCTACAGTTGCGAAGGGAAAGTGTATTGAATACCTACAACTATGAGAAAAGGTATCCTTGTGGAGGCCCAAAACCACAAGCCTCTTTCCACCTTATCTGAAGGTCAGAGTTTGAGGTTGCACAAAAGTGTTAACAGGTGTGGCTACACACCCTGACCTAAAGTCTGGTTGTTTTGTGTTTTGGACTTTAAGAGAGCCCATACAAGTAAATCCACTTCTCCTTGAGCAAAGGTCAAAGAATCCAAACATACTTCTGCTACTTCTTTTGAATTAAGAGTTTGACCCAGGGAATGACTGCCTTTAGGATATTTGGTCTAGGGAGGGTTCACTCCCTGAATAACAATGTTTTTCTCAATAATTAAGGACTTGATGGCTCAAAATATTGAAGGAAGTAACTGTTCTAGTTGTCTTTTGCATTATGCTAGAGCAGTCTTTTGTCTTCTTCCCCCTGTTGTATTGGTGTGTAAAACTATATAAAAATTGGTTTGCAGAGATGGTTCAGTAATTAAGAGCACTGCCTGCTCATCTAAAGGTCCTGAATTCAATTCCCAGGAACCACATGGTGGCTTACAACCATCTCTAATGAGAGCAGCTGCCTTTTTCTGGGCTGCAGGAATGCATGTAGGCAGAATACTGTATACACAATAAATAAATCTTTTTTAAAAACTATGTGAAAAATTAAATGCAGGCAGGTTTACAGTATTCATGGGAACTCCCTCCTGGTACTGTTCTATGCTTCTGTTTTATTATTTTTACTTGTGTCTTCATTCTCTTTACTTATGTTCACATCCCCATGCCCCTACCCTGGAAAGTGTCAAAGATGGTCCCTGACATATACTGACTATTGGGAAGTCTGGCTATACCCAAGGTATGTTCCAGTGTGAGATGTTCTCCCTAAAGAGTGTAGCAATACTGTACAAAATACTCCCTAAAGAGTGTAGCAATACTGCTCCCCTACAAAATAGAGCCATCACAGCTGGGCCCTGTTTCACTCTGTTAAGAGAGCTTCAAAGCAGAGACATCCATTGCTGTTCTGCTCCACTTCCCTAAGGGAGTTTCCTAGCAGAGGTGTCCAATGCTTCTCTGTTCATCCAACTAGGGAGTTTCCTAAAAGAGATGTCAATTTTTTTCTCAACTTCAGCCCAATTTGTTACTTCTCTGCTTCACTGGAGTTGATGGGAAACTGTTGCAGAAATGTTGCAGTCTCTGGTGAAGAGTCGCTACTTCTGCTCTGCTCCTTTAAGGGAGTTTGCCAGCAGAGGTGACCAAAGCTTCTCTGTTCCAATCCACGAGAAAGTTTCTTATCACTCCAGTGAAGATCTTCACCCTAAAGTCATTCAAGAAATTTATTTGGAAGGGATGAATCCAGGAGGAGCTGCCTCTATCAGGGCAGAAATGGGCAGATGCCAACTGAACATGTACAGAACTTATAGAAAAGTTCTCAGGGGCAGAGATTTCCCAGGGAGAAGATTCTCGGGGTGGTAATTGTTTAGATGTCAATCCCTGATCTTGAACAATGCAGAGATTGGCTGGATTTCATGCTTAGGGATTGGTAGATCTCAAGCTTAGGGATTAGTTGGTTTTGTGCTCAGTTGCTCAAGGGTAGAGTGTGTTTCTTTGGCTCTTCTTTCAGGGCCAACGTGTGTTCCTTCACTGGCCCCTTAAAACCCTTTGAGTCTGGTTTCAGGGTCAGGTGTTTCTTTCATTGGCTTTAGATTCAGGATCAAAGTGTGTTTACTTGTCTTTGTTTTAGAGTCAGGGTATATTTCTTTAGCTCCAGTTTTAGAGTCAAAATTATATATTTCAATGGCTCTGGTTTCAGGGTCAGGATGTGTTTTCTTTAACTGGCCCATTTACCCTACACACGGGGCTTCATAAATTCATTTTACCATGAGTTTGTAAGTACAAACAGTATAAAAATGACATCATAATGCTTGAAAAGATTGTTAACACTGTCAAATTTGTTTCTACAGAAGAAATAGTCTTGTGTTGTAGGCAGAGGATTCTTCTTCATTCATGGCTGCCCCAGACCCAAAATAATCACACAGAAACTATACTAATTAACACTGCTTGGTCTTATCTCAGGATTCTTATTAACTAATTCTGACATCTTAAATCACCACATTCCTATTATTTTGTATTTTACCATAAGACTTATGATTTGTCAGTAAGGTTCCAGGGCATCTGTCTCCTTCAGCAGATACATGGAGTCTGACTCCACTTTCTTTTTTCCTCTGTCTCTAGTTGGAATTCCTGCCTTGCTCTAATCTGCCCTGCCATAAAACCAAAGTAGCTTCTTTATTAAACAATGGTAACAAAATACATTCACATTGTGTAGCTTATTATAAGAGTTTTGTTTAAGATCCTACCAAATACTTTATAATAAGAAGTCCTCAGTATCTTTTTCAGGTAGTCAATGTCTATTGAAACATACAAAGATTTCAAGAGATTGTTGCACACAAAAAGTTTTACTCCTCTATAAAGTACAAAACTTTATCACACTGAATACATTTATAGAGTTTCTCTGCAGTATGATTTTTTCCTCATGATTTAGATTATTCATAAATGCAAATGCTTTACCACACTAATTACATTCATAGGGTTTCTCACCAGTATGTGATCTTTTATGTTTTCGGAGACTACTGTGACATGCAAAGGTTTTACCACACTCATTTTCTTCATAGGGCTTCAATCTAGTATGTGTTTTTCCATGCCTGTGAAGATGACTGTCACATGCAAACGCTTTAACAAATTGAGTATATACAGAAGTTTCCTCTCCAGTTTGACATTTTTCATGCCTACAATGATAATGGTACATGTGAAAGCATTACTATATTTAATACATTGTTGACTATTTTTATTTCTATAAATTAATTTTATAATTTAGTCCTATTTTAAAGAGGAATTATGTGTTAAGGTTTTATCACCATGTTTACAATCTTGTTTTTTCCCTTTATTAAGGCATGTTTTTCATCTTTGAAGATAACTGATAACAGCCTTTAATACATGGTTCACATTTACAGAATCTTTTTTTCTGTATGAGAATTTTCATGTATTTGAAGAGAACTGAAAAACTCAGAGCTTTACCCCTCTTATTGCATTGATAATGTTTCCTATACTGTGAGTGATACTACATTTGTTAAGTGAACTAGAACAAACAGAAGTTTTTAAACAGTCCTAGTACTCATAGTGTTTTTTCTGAAATGTGAGCTAGTTGATATATTAACAATGAGACTAGAAAACCAATTAATTACTTGTATACGTGTGCATCAAATTCAACAAGTATACTCAACATGGGGACTGTTAAATATCTTCTATTTGTTCTGAGAGAGGGGTATGTTATATCTTTTCACATCCCTATGCTCATGTGGCTTGTATCCAGAGCAACATATGATATACCTAGTAAAGGAAGAATAACAAATATGTCTTCCACATTGAGTTCACAGTTTGACTTTCTGTCCTCATAGACGTGTGGCGTCTGGATTAAGGCCTCTCCACAACAGCTGCTCCTTGATTCATGACTCCAACTGCACCCTCACTAAACTTAACACAGTCACAAGTATATGGGTTAAGCTACCTTTTCTATGGACTACTAGTGTAATAGATAGTTTTAGAGATATACTTATCACCTTTTCAACATGTATATCTTTTATAATATGAATAATATGAAGTAAATGCATTGACAATTTTACAGTATAGCTCTCATTGTATTATGATTCAAATGGAAATATAGGTTAAGATTTTTCTTCCTTGACTTCTTTCTTAAAAGAATGACTTGCAAATGCAGTTCACCTATCTGAAATTAAGGTATATAATTTTGTGAGAATTTAAAAATCATCAATGCATATTTATTATTTGCACTGTTGTTTTTGTGTAAAACATTTGGATTCATTACAAAGTCTTCAGCAGTATATTTGTATATTTGTAAATAAAAATTACCTTTCATGTCTTCTAGAACTTTGACAATGTTCTTCAATATTATGGTCTTCCCAACTATATCCTAAAATATAGTGCCAGAAAAAAATGTATGTTATATATTAAAAATTGTTAGAAATTTAGCTACCATTTGAAGCAAACCTTACAACCATGCCTGATTTACTTTCCCCATTCTTTGTCAATCATATTACAAAAGAGCATCATTAACCAATGACCAGTTGTCCCCTTATTTGAAACATGAAAGATAATTCAGCCTTACCTATAGTAGTGAGGTTCCTGTAGGTCTCCACCATCACATCTTTGTATAGACTCTTCTGGGAAGGATTCAGCAAAGTCCATTCTTCCCAAGTGAAGTCAACATGCATGTCATCATATGTTACTGAATTCTAAAATCCCATACATGTGTACAACAGAAAGTATAATTTTGACAACACTGTAAATGTATACTTCTTTGACAGTATAGTATAGATTTCTGGTTCTCACCATACTTTTCCATGATATAGACATCATAATTTAATCACCAAGTCATTTAGAAGCAAATTGAAAAGGAAGTTCACTTCTATCATTTCTAAAACCTTTGAATGGGATATCACTTTGCAAGAGAAATGCCTACTACTGAACAATGAAAGATACATAAACAGAACAACAGTACAGAGTACAGATAAGAGAAATTGTATGAATGATTAATTCCTAACTACAAAAAAGGAAAATAAGATGAAAAAGCTGGATGCACTGCACTGAATCATGCCTCTAATCCTTGTACTCAGAAGGCAGAGGCATGTATGTCTATCTGCCTCTGTGTTCAGTACCAGCCTAATCCATGCGATCGCTTCTAGGACAGCCAGAAATAAATGTTAAATACCTGTTTCACATAAAAAATACCAATCAAACAAACATAAAAGATAGAAATAACTCATAGGCATTTGCTGAAGTTTCTTCAAAGAGTTGTGTATTCACTTCAACTCTTTATTCATCTACCAGAAACTTGAAATGCCCCAATTTAAACTTTAGCATAAATAAGATTTTACTAAAAGTCACTGTGTGTTTAAAAAGTTATGAATGGACAAATGAAAACAATAGTGATTAATGTGCTGATTACAAATAATCAACACAGAGCAGGAAAGATGGCTCAACAGTAAAGAGTTCTGCTGGTCTTGCATACAGGTAGGCTCAAGGACTTGTTCCATTGTTCCAAGTTTAGGGCTTCTAGTACCATCTTTTGATCAATGTAAAGACCAGGTACTCACATGGTACATATCCATGCATACAGGTAAAATACTTAGAGGTAGGCAGAGTGGGCAGAACTGAATTCTGGAAGGAAGAAAGCAGAGTCAGAGAGAACCGCCATGGAGTTGCCAATATCAGACATGCTGCATCTTTCCTGGTAAGCCACAACCTTGTGGTGACATACAGATTACTAGAAATTCGTTAAATCAAGATGTGAGAGTTAGCAAATAAGAGGCTAGAGATAATGGGCCAGGTAGTGTTTAAATTAATATCATTTCTGTGTGATTATTTTGGGTGTAAGCTAGCCAGGACGACAAGCAATCCCATCCTCATCACCAAGGAGAGAACAAAGGGCCACCCTCCTCCTACTACAAAAATACTCTTTTTAAAATAAAAATTCCAGGGCTGGAGCGATGGCTCAGTGGTTAAGAGCATTGCCTGTTCTTCCTAAGGTCCTGAGTTCAATTCCCAGCAACCATATGATGGCTCACAACCATCTGTCATGAGGTCTGGTGCTCTCTTCTGGCCTACAGGCATATGTGCAGGCAGAACATTATACATAATAAATAAATAATTATTAAAAAAATAAATAGATAAAAAATAAAAATTCAAAGCAAACAAAACAGGCAGAAAGAAGGTTATGTACCTGTAATCCAAAGACTCAGAACACACAGGCAGTATTAATGTCATGAATACATGCCATTCTGAGAAACATAATGATACCCTCTGTCAAATTTTAAAATTCAAGATATGGGTGAAGCTCAGACCAACAGTATATGCTTTATAGGAACAAAACCACCATACAACAATATAGAAAGAAAAAAGCCAGGAATGCTGGCCCACCTTTAATCCCAACACTTGGGAGTCAGAGTCAGAGGTTCTCTGAGTTTGAAGCCAATCTAGTATATAGAGCTACTTTCAGGACAGCTAGGGCTACACCGTCAAACCTTGTCTTCAAAAATAAACAAACAAAAATGAAAACAGTAGGCTACCAAACCACCTTAGCAACAAATAGCTGTTAATTCTAATGAATCTTGTGTGATTTAGTGATAGAGTTTATGGTGGTGGGGAAGTTATAACAGCAAAAGAAAAAGTTGACTGATTAGTTTTAACCACAACACAGTAGGCACAAAGAACAGGAAATGGACTGAGGCTATAGAAACTTATATTGTGGGACTCACCTCTGGATGCTGTGATTATTGTTGTTTAATAAAGGAACTGCTTTGAGCTATAGCAGAGCTATAGGACAGAACTTAGGTAGGCAGGGGAAAATAAACTAAATGCTGGGAGGAAGAAGGCAAAGTCAGAGAGAAGTTATGAAGCCCTGCCAGAGACAGATGCTGGGAACATTACCTGTAAAACCATAGCCATGTAGCAATACATAGATTAATATAAATGGTTTAAATTAAAATGTAAGAGTTAGCCAATAAGAAGCTAGAGCTTGTGGGCCAAGCAGTGATTTAATTAACACAGTTTCTGTATGATTATTTTGGGGCTGAGCAGCTGGGAACAAACAAGCAGCCCTTACTGCTTATCGTATCACATCCCCAATGAGAGATTTCATCCAGAAAGGCTCCTCCTACTAATGTTTCACAAGCCATCAAATGAAACTTACCAAGAAGAGGCACATGTTAAAATACATCTTCCGATCTGTATTATGGATCATATCAATTCTAACAGGTGTAAGAAGAAATCTCAAAGTAGTTTTGATATTCATTTTCCTGATGGCTAAAGATGTTGAACATGTCTTCAAGTATTTCTCAGTCACTTTAAATTCTTTTACTGAGAATTCTGTTTAGAGGTGTTCCCCATTATAATTGGATATTTGGTTTGTTGTTGTCTAGTTTCTTGAATTCTTTAATATCCTAGGTGAGGAAACCCAGAATCACATAGAAAAATATGGTATTTACTCACTTATAGGTGGAAATGAGCAGTTAAGTAAAGTATAATCACAGTAATCACAGCTAATCACAGTATAATCCATAGACACAGAGAGGCTAAGTAATAACAGCTTTAGGGGAGATGCATAGATCTCCCTGGTAAGCAGAAATAGAATAGATTTTGTGGGTACACTAGAGGCAGGAGGGATAGGAAGAGGAAGGATCAGGTGAGCAAGGAAGGGACAGATGGGGAGCAGACCTGGAGAAATGACTGGAATAGGGGAGCTTTTAACAGGGGATGTGGAAACAGTGTAGTGAAAACTTTCTGGAACCTATAAATGTGACCCTAGTGAGGACTTCTAGTAATCAAGAGTATGGAGGCTGAACTAGCCATCTTCTGTAACCACATAAAGCTCCCAGTGGGACTGGGACACCAAGCCAACTGCAAAACATTCAACCCACACTTGTACTACCTGCAAGATATGCTGGGGCACTGGTGACTCAGAGCTTTCTTAGTGGCCAATAAATGACTGGTCTAACTTGAAGCCCATGCTGTGAGAGGAAGCCCATAACTGACACTGCCTAGATGGCAAGGAACTAGAACTCAAATGGTTAAGAGAACCAGGGTAGAACCAAATACAGCTGACCAGAAAAAATATCAATAAAATGATTCTTAACTATTTCCTGCTATAATCATAGGTTGGTACCTGGCCTACTTGTTATTAAAGAGGCGTCTTCCAGGGGCTGATGGAAGCCCATGGAGAGATTCCTACCCAAACATTAGCTTGAGCTGTAGGGATCTTGTAGAAGGAGGATGTGAGAATTGTAGCATTTAGTGGTTGAGGAAATCAGGGGAACATGGCCCATGAAATCAACTAAGTAGGGCATATAGTGGCTCAGAGAAACTGACATAACAATCACAGAGTCTTCATGACTCTGTTTCAGGTCCTCTGCATGCATGCTATGGTTGTTTAGCTTGGGGTGTTTGTGAAACTCATAACTGTAGGAGTCATTGTGTCTCTGACTCTTTTGTCTGTTCTTAGGACCCTTTTTCTTCTACTGCATTGTCCTGTCGAGCCTTGAAATAAGACTTTGTGCCAAGTCTTATTTCACCTTGGTATGATATATTTAGTGATATCCTAGGGAGGTCTGTTCTTTTTTTGAAGGGAAAAGGAAGCTGTGGAGTTGGGACAATGAGGATTTGGTGAGGGAGAGACTGAAATGAGTAGAGGAAGGGGAGAATTGAATCAGGATATATAGAATGAGAGAATAAATACAAATAAAATAAAACTGCATTTAGTCTAAGTTCAATAATCCTTATAATCTGTAGCAGCCCAAACATCACAAATGTCTAAAGTCTCTTCTGACATTTAAGACAATCTCTTGAATATCACTTGTTGGAAAATCAAAAAGATTAAATATTTACAACATACAATGGCACAGGACATATTCCCATTCATAAAAATGGGAATATGACTGTGTTACAGCTCCCATCTTAGGCAGACTCATGTCTATGCCACACCAGTCAGAAGAACAGATAGGCAGACCACAAACCCATGAAATTTCCATACACCCTGTATTCCCACAGACACAATCCTCCAGCAACCCTACAGCTGCTACCTCCAAACCATGTATGCACCCCTATGTCAGATGCATAGCCTCTGCTCAAGTGCAGGCCACATCAGCCAAAAAACAGGTGGGAAAACTGAGGTAAAGACTCTGCTGGACCAGAACCTATGCCAGTCACCAGAAATTCACAGAGGTTTCTTGTCTGTGCACCTCTTCCATTCTTTTAATAATCCCACAACACTACCCCCAATCCCACTTCCCTCCTCTTCTCTGTGCTGTAGCCTTCAACTTGTGTGGAGACCCACATACTATCTGCAAGAAGTCCATGTAGGCCACCTTCCAACTGACCTTCCTCATTCTCTCATTCCCCCTCAACACTATCCCCAAGTTCCTTAACCTCTCCAAAACATGGACAGACACTCTCTGCTGGAGCAAAGGCCCCACCAACAGTAAGATTTTCAGCCCTAACTTGGGATGAGAGCCCCTGTTCAACCATAGGCCACATAAAGCAGAAAATTAGAAAGCAAATAGAAATCAAGGAACAAAACACCCATGCAACAAAGACAAACTGAGAAATCAGTATCTTGATACCCAAATTCCTCTTACCCAGATACTTGAACACCAACATAAAAACACAATCAACAACAGTCAGAGCAATAAGTCACTACCAGATTCCAGCTATCCTACTACTGCAAGCCCTGAATATTCCAATACAATTGAAGCACAATGAAGTTAAGACCAACTTTACAAAAATGACAGAAGTCCATAAAGAAGTAAATGAATCCCTTTTAAAAAGCAGAGAAAGGCTAAATGAAGTATTGGAGAAAATTAATAAATCCCTTAAAGAAAGCCAAAACGTAAACAAAGAAACAGTTGACAGAATTGAGTGAATCTGTTCAAGACCTTAAAATAGAAATAGTAGCAATTAAAAAATATGAACTGAAGGAATTATAAAAATAAAAACCTAAGTAATCAAGACCTACAGAGGCATGCTTCACTAAAAGAATATAAGACATTGAACAGAGAATTTGAGACTTTAAAAGTATGATCGAAGACATGGACATATTGATCAAAGAAAATGTTAAACCTAAAATTTCCTGAAACATAACATCCAGGAAATCTGAAACACTAGGAAAAGACCAATCCTAAGAATAACAGGAAATGGAGGAGAATCTCACCCCAAAGACACAGAAAAAAACTTAAAAAAAAAATTCATAGTCAAAATTTTTCCTAACTAAAATGACACAGGAGAACACAGTAGGGCTCATAGACGCTCACAGAGGCTGAAATACCAATCATGGAGCCCGCAGGAGTTTATGCCAGGTTCTCTGCATGTTATCATTGTGTAGCTTGGTGTTTTTGTGCAACTCCTAACAGTGGGAGTGGGGAATGTCTCTTAACTCTTTTGCCTGCTCTTGGAACCTTTTTTTCTTCTACTAGGTTGATTCATCCAGCCTTTGATATGTGCCCAGTCTTATTTCAATTTGCTATATATGGCTTTATTGATATCTCTGGGACATCTGCTCTATTCTGAAGGGAAATGAAGATTGAGTGGATCTGGTGGAGAAGAGAGAAGTGGAGAGGACTGAAAGGAATGGAGGGAGAGGAAACTGCAGTTGGGATAGATTATAAGAAAAGTGATGTGCGGTGTCCTTCTGTATAAGTGTTACTTTTATTAGTTAATGAATAAAGCTGCTTTGGCCTACGGCAAGGCAGAATATAGCCAGGCTGGAAGAGATAGAGACAGTGGGCAGAGTCTAAGAGATGCCATGAAGCTGCCTAGGCAGAAAAACACCTTAGAAGCTTATCAGCAGGCTACAGCCTCATGGTGATATAGAGATTAATAGACATGGATTAAGATGAAAGAGCTTGTTAATGAGAAGCCTGAGCTATTGGCCAAACCGTGCTGTAATTAATACAGTTTCCGTGTGATTATTTGGGTCCGGGTGCCCGGGAAATGAATAAGCCGTCTCTGTTTACAAGAAGAATAAATTTTGAAAAGAGAGAGAGAGAAATGTGAGGGAAGATTGGTTCTCAGTAACGAAAACTCAGCAGGGCCAACAACAAACCCTTTACGTCTCTCTCCTCCACCACTTCCACTTCCCGTCCGTCGTTCTCGGTCTCATAGCCAAACACACAGCTCTGTCTTCACCTGACAGCTTCACGCACTGGAGTCTCAGTCTCCTCACACAGACGGACTCGGTCCCGCTGAGCTGGACGGAAGGGGAAGAATCTGTGACCTAAACACTGCTCCCCCTGCAGTCCGGTTTCTAGGCTGCTGTGGATGCTGCACCACTCGCTTTTTCCACCGCAGACCTAAATAAATCATCAGCAATAAACACCCGACAGATTCTGTGCTTTGTCTGAGAAATCACCAACTACTTTTAATTTTGCCATCACACGCAAAAAAGCCCGGGGGATTCTGGGCAAACGTCTGATCCTATGGATTCGGGTCAGCTGTCAATCACGGCCTGGGGGCGGGCGCTTCCCGTGGCCTGGGAAGTCGCTGCTGTCAATCACCCCTGTAGAGAGGGAAACTTCCGGTCGCTTCTGCCAGTCATTCCCTCGAAGGCGGGCGCTTCTGTCCCGATAGCGACAACGCCCTGTCACTCAAACGCTCCAGATGGGCTGTTCTGATCGGCGCCGTCAGTCATCATTGATGAGGTGGGACTTCTGCGGGGCTGGAAAGCCGCGTTGGTCGATCCTTGCGCGGGTGGCAGGGACTTCCGGCAACAACTGTCAATCATGACGTGGGAGCCGGGCACTTCTGGTACAAACACACAGAAACTGTTTATCACGGTGTATGAGGCGGGCGCTCCCGGTGATAACTGCCAATCAGTCTGCGCAGGCACGGTACTTCCGGTACGCACTATCCACCAGGACCCGGGAGCTTCCTGCCACCGCTGTCAATCACCCGTTCCCTGACCCCACAGCCCCTACGTACCTGGACAGGAAGCCCTGTCGGCCAAGGTGATGGGAGCTGAGTACCCTGGGTGCTGTGCTGAGTCCGCGGGTGCTGCGCTGACTCCTTTCCGGGTGCTGTGCTAAGTTCTCCCCACGGGTGCTGATGACTCGGCGCTCAGTCCCCCGGATTCCTCGGCTGCCCGAAGTGCTGAGCGCTGAGTCCTCCTTCCGCGCGGGTGCTCAATGCGCAGAGCTCAGTCCCCCGCCCTCAGGACTCAGTGCTCCGGCAGCCTCAGTGCTGGTGACTCGGTGCTCAGTACCCCGGGTACTATGCTCGGTCACCCCGCCCGCCCTCCCGGAAGTGCTCGTCGCCCCGCCCCCTCCCCCGCGGCTGCCGAGCCGCGTACTGGGTGCTTAGAACTCGGTCTCCCCACACACGGGTGCTGTGCTCGGTACCCCGGTTCCCCGCATCCCGGAAGTTCCACCCCGGTCTCCGGGACTGACGGCCGCCGCACCGGAAGCGCTGGTCCGTGAACCGGGAAAAAGCCGTTTATTCGCGCTCCCGGGAACTCCTATGCGGTCCGTGGCGGCCGGGGAGGGGAGGGGAGGGAAGAAAGGGGTAGGGTGGAGGAGGGGCGGGGCCCTGCGCTCACGTGACCCCGCCGCCTCCCTGATGACACCGGTCATGAGTGTTTACATTTTTTTCTCCCGGCCGGGTGCTGTGCTGAGTCCTCCGCCCGCGGGTCACACCAGGGTCAGCGCGGCCGTGACCTCCGCCCCCGCTTGTCCCGCCCCCTCGGCGGTGACTGACACCTGCGGGCGCGCAGGGGGGGCGGGGCCAAAACAAACAAACACAGCTGGGGCCACCGGGGTTGCGCATTCGGTCAACGAACTCGTACATTACCCGCGCGGCCCCGGGCGGCAGAAGCGGCGGCCAGAGGATAAGGGCTCCTGAGGTAGCGGGACGATCCCGCAGCGCGCGCGGTCTGGGAGTCGAGCGACGAACGCGCGGGCTCCTACACGAGCGGCAAAGCCCCGACCACGACACCCCAAAGAGTCCATCAACAAACGTGCGGGCTCCTACACTGGCAACAAAGCCCCCGCCGCGGCGCGCCCAGCTCCAGACAGACAAACGGCGAACACGTATGTGACCTGCGTGGCCCCGGGGAGCGAGGGAGGGGGAGGCAGGATCGTAAACACGTGGGAAATGGGGATACGAGAGACGTCTGTGTGTGTGCGCCTGTGAGAACATTGTGCGTGTGATGTAAGCACTCACGACGCGAACATGTATGACGTAAGCACGAAAGACGCGGACATGCATGACGTAAACACGCACGGCGCAGACCCGTTCCTTGCACACGCGTGCACAAATTTGCACACTCACGCGGTCGCATCCTCCCCCAGGACGATGTCGCCGCCCCCGGCCCTCGCGCTCCTCCTCCTGCTGCAGCTGCTCAGTGTGTGCAGCGCACGCGAACCTGAGAGGCCAAACTTTGTCCTCATCATGGCCGACGACCTCGGCATTGGGGACCTCGGCTGCTACGGGAACCGCACGCTCAGGTGGGTCCCGGGGAATGCATGTGTGCAAATGACACACATATGAGGAGACACACGCGACACTCATTTGCACACTCGCTGGCACACACACACAAAAGCACACACACACAGGCACACAGAGGCACACGCGCCTGCAAATGTGGACAAGTGAGTAACGTGTGCGCCTGTCACGCATGCTCACGCCCGTCCACGCCCATCGCACACACATCTCTCCCACCCCCTGCAGGACTCCCAATGTCGACCGAATGGCCCGCGAGGGCGTGAAGCTGACCCAGCACCTGGCGGCCTCGCCCCTGTGCACGCCCAGCAGGGCGGCCTTCCTCACGGGGCGCTACTCGGTGCGCTCAGGTGCGTGCACAGGGAGGTAGGGCAGCGTGCACGCGCATGGGGGGGCGGGGGCGAGGGCGAGCGAGTGTGAACCAGTCTGAACCAACCCGATCCCGCTCTCCCCAGGCATGGCGTCGCACAACCGCTTCGGCGTGTTCCTGTTCACGGCATCGTCAGGCGGGCTTCCCCCCAGCGAGGTCACCTTTGCACAGCGGCTGCAGGAGCACGGATACCACACGGGGCTGGTCGGTGCGTGGGGGGCGGGGCTGCAACCGCTGTCACATGACGGGACGTGGTTGATTGACACGGGACTTCGTCATTCACGCATGCACACGACAGGAAGGACACGAGACTGACGTGTGGTGACCAGCGATGTCACGTGACTGCCCTTTTCTCACATGACGTCATTGCTCATGTCTATGACATCATGTCATTATTAACACGTGATCATCACGTGACAACCATGATGACGGTATTGGCACCCATGACTACACATTATTGACATGTGGCCACTCATCTTCATGCATGATATCATGTGATGTCGCCCTTCATGGGTGTGGTGCCGTGTCATGGAAACGTGATTTACATGTGATGTCACTATTTGCACACTTGACATACGATGTCACGTGACCCCCATTCGCGCCCATGATTGACACACATCTCCGTACCTCCACCCCAGACACGCGTGTCCTCCCCCTTCCTGACCCACAGGGAAGTGGCACCTGGGTCTGAGCTGCCACCGCCGGGACGACTTCTGCCACCACCCTCAGCGGCACGGGTTCGAGTCCTTCCACGGCTTCCCGTTGACGAACCTGCGCGACTGTCGCCCCGGCGCGGGCTCCGTGTTCGACTCCGCAGAGCGGGTGGTGCGTGTGCCCGTGCAGGCACTGCTCCTATGTGCACTCACGCTCGCGCTGCTGCGGCGCCTGGGGCTGGGGCGGGTTCCCATGGCGCTGGTGGTGACGCCTGTGCTGCTCGCGGTTGCTGTGACCGCTGGCTTCTTCGCCTTCCTGCACTTCTTCCGCCCCGCGAACTGCGTCCTCATGGCCGGGTTCGAGCTGGCGCAGCGGCCGGCTGAGTATGAGGGACTCACACAGCGACTCACGCGGGAGGCCGTGAGCTTCCTGGAGAGGTGAGCGCAGGGTAACACATAGGTCATATGTGCATCATACGTGTGCATGGCGCATGTGACCTATTTTACGTGTGAGGTCTGGGGCTAGACCACTTTTCTGTAACATGGTCACAGGTTAGACCACTGCAGACATGGTAGGAGTCTCACATCTCGCCTGTGGTCCAAGGCTAGACCCTGTGTCCATGCCCGTGTCCCACACAGTTGATGCCTTGCATGTGTGTTAACAATCACACATGCGTCCTCTCGCATGTCATGAGCGTGTCTCATGTTCTTAGACACAGGACATGTGAACAATATCATGTGTGGATTCCGAGGTTAGACTGCTTGCGTGTCCTGTGTCATGATCATGCATGTCTGACACATGTAATATGGGAGAGATCTAAGGCTAGACCCTCACCCCCTCCCGCCCGCAGGCACGCACATGCGCCCTTCCTGCTCTTCCTCTCCTTCCTCCACGTCCACACTGCCCACTTCGCGGCCCCAAAATTCTCCGGCCGCAGCCACCATGGGGCCTATGGGGATGCAGTCGAGGAGCTGGATTGGAGCGTGGGTGAGCAGGGGCGGAACCTGGCAGACGCAGGAAGGCGTCACACGTGAGATTGCCATGATGTCACGTGTGAAACAGCGTGACGATGTTATACGTGTGTTTATGGGATGATGTAATGCATGTGATTGTATGATGACATCATCCATGTGTTTATGGGATAATGTCATGCATGTATATATGTAATGATGTAATGCTTGTGACTGTGTGATGATGTCGTCCATGTGTTAATGTGATTTTGTCACGTGTGTGATAAAGTGATGTAATGTGTGTGCTTGCATGACGACATCATCCCTGTGTTTATGTGATGATGTCACGCATCAATGTATGTGATGATGTCACGCTTGGATATATGTGATGATGTCGTGTGTATTTATGTGATGTCACACGTGTGATTATATGACATGTGGCCATGCTCTCCCCGCCCCCACAGGTCAGGTCCTGGACGCGCTCGACCGCCTGGGCCTGGCGGAAAACACATTCGTCTACTTCACGTCTGACCACGGCGCCCACGTGGAGGAAGTGAGCAGTGCGGGCGAGATGCACGGTGGCAGCAACGGGATCTATAAAGGTTGGGCTTGCGGGTCACGTGTGTGTTAGTTTTGTTTGCGAGAACGCGTGACACCTGTGATTTATGTGTTTGCATGGGAGTCTGCGTCCTTCCCACGATGTCACCCGTGTTGCTGCATTGTGATTGGCGGATATGCTGATCAGGGGTCAGCTGCCTTGGCCCCGCCCTTTTTCCCATGATCCTCTCTATTCCGCTGCCACAGGTGGCAAGGCCAACAACTGGGAGGGTGGCATCCGTGTCCCCGGTGTCGTCCGCTTCCCGCGGGAGCTCGACCATGGCCTGGAGCTAGCGGAGCCCACGAGCCACATGGACATCTTCCCCACGGTGCTGGCACTGGCGGGGGCGGAGCTTCCCACCGACAGGTGAGCGGACGGGGCCGGACTTCCAGGAAAGGGGCAGGACTGGAAGTACCGTTAAAATGTGTGGGAGCAGGATTGTATGGATTGACATGTGAGGGAACAGGAATTAATTCCTGTAAATAGGCATGATTGGGGCGGGACTTCCTGTGGGTGGGCATGATGAGGACGGGACTTCCTATGGCCTGACATGATAAGGGTGGGACTTCCTGTTGCTTGGCATGTTCAGGGTGGGAGTTCCTTTGGATGGGCATGATGAGGTGGGACTTCCTATGGCTGGACATGATCGAGGCAGGACTTTCTATGGATGGGCATGATGCGGGCAGGACTTTCTCCCCGCATCCCGTGTCACACACACCTGTCCCTGCAGGATCATCGATGGCCAGGACCTGATGCCGCTCCTGCGGGGGACGCGCCTGCGGTCGGAGCACGAGTTCCTCTTCCACTACTGCAATGCCTACCTCAACGCTGTGCGCTGGTGGCCACGGGATGGTGAGCAGGCATGCATGTGACACGGGTCAGGAATGTGTCAGATGGGTCACGGGTGTGTGAAGGGGGTGTGTGTAGGTCATGCGTGAGTAAAATGCGCCACATGTCTGTGAAATAAGTCGCATGTTTGTGAAATAGGTCCTGTGTGTGTGAAATAGGTCCCGCCTCTGAAGTCACACATGTGACAAATAATTCTTGTGTGTGTGATATGTGTCACATGCCTCTGTCCCATGTTACATGCTTCACACGTGTCCCCCTCAGGCTCTGCCCTCTGGAAAGTCTTCTACTTCACACCCAACTTTGACCCGGGTGCCAATGGCTGCTTCTCCTCGCACGTGTGCTTCTGCTTCGGCAGACACGTGACGCGCCATGACCCCCCACTGCTTTTTGACCTCTCCCGCGACCCCGGTGAGCGCCACCCCCTGACCCCAGAATCCGAGCCACGATACCATGCTGTCCTGGCGGCCGTGGAAGAGGCAGTAGCTGCACATACACACACGCTCGATCCTGCGGTGCCCCAGCAGCTGTCACTCAGCAACCTGGTCTGGAAGCCTTGGCTGCAGCTGTGATGTCATGTGACACACGTGTCACTCCTGTGCGACCCCAGCACACCCCGCTTCCCAGTCACGTGACAATCACGGATCGCCCCCCACCACACACATGTGAACAAATGAAGGACACGGGTCTCGCATACCCGTCACACATGAAGGACTCGCCGCTGAGCATGAAGACACATGCTTGTGAAAACCCCACCCATGTGAACCCCGCCATGCAGCTCATGACACACACGTGTGCGACAGCCCTGGCTCAGGTCTGAAGTCTGACACACGCATGTGAGCCCCACATGCACACCATGGCCAGTTCCAATCAGTCTTTCGATGAACACAGAGTGAAACCCAGCGCTGCCAGACACACACTAAATCCGCACTTTGTGATTATTTCATTTTAATTTATTTTCCATTTTCTTTATTGATTTTGGTTTTTTTAGTTTTTATTTTCCTCTTATTTTGACCCTGCATGGATCCGGAAGAAATGAATCTGCGTGGCCACGATAATGAAAATTTAATATATATGATACACGCCCACACGATCATATTTAATTTTCCCCCGCACAACACAGAAATAAAGCAGTATTGGCGATGAGAGCATGTGCGGCTGTATGGAATTTGTGATTTTGGGGTGAAAAAGAAAGAAAAATCTCAGGGAAAATGGGAAAAAAAATTCTTAAGATAGTAAAAAGAAAATGAAATTTTTTAAAAAATCGAGATTTTGAAACAAAAATATCATAAATTTAAAACATTTCGAAAACTTTTTTCGAGAAAATCGAATTTGCACCCGGGGCCATGTGAGGTGAGCGTGTGATGACCCAGGGTCATCCTGGGCTATGCATGCATGACATGTGATATCACGTGTGTGACAGGAAGTCCCTCCCACCCCAATTCACATCCATGTCCATCACATGTGCTCAGCCTGTCATGCATGTGGTGGGTAGGGCGCCAGTGTGAACTCTGAGATTCATGGGAGGTGGGGACTTGCCGCATAAATTATCGGTCACATTAGCATATATGTAAATAAGAGTCTGTTCATGCCTGGCTCTGGGTTTGAGGGTTGCACATACATTACAGGCTGATTAATATATATGCAAATGAGGCCACATGATCTAAACCATGTTTGAGTCGCTGCTAGATAATTACACGCATAGATTACCTGCCCAATTTACATATATGCAAATGAGTATTGTTGGCTGTTGGTGGTTTCTGGTTTCTACTTAAGCATGTGCATAGATTACAAAGCTCATTGTAATAAATTTGCATAAATTACAGGATCGTTGTGAACGTGCACATAAATTATTAAATTACAGCCTCATTATCATAAAGAGTGTGGATCCGCCTGCTTGCGGATTAGCATATGCAAATGGGCCTCCACAGCACCTTGAATCTCCAGATCCTTCTTGACACAAGCATCTGCAATGATCTCATTAACATATACGCAAATGAGCCCTACTACAGGGCCAGAGAATTCCCTCCAACAGTGCATACCACGCATATATTAGTCCCTAATTAGCATGTATGAATATATTAGCATATATTATTCCAGTGAAGAAATGAAGTAAATTCAAACGAATGAATGAAATGAAGCGAAATCCAGTAAAACTGAGCGAAAGGCGAAACAAAATGAAAAATAAAAGCATTCAATAAAAGGAATAATTAAAAATAATGAATAAATGAAATAAAAATAAAATAACAAAATTATGAAATGAAATTAAATCAGATTAACAAAGTCGCTGGGTTCTGCGGATTAAGCGAATTCCTGCACATGGGAGCGATTTTCATGTGTGAGGAGGAAGCAAAAGTCACGCAGGATTGAAAAAAACCACAAATATTTCCCGTTAATTTAGTTCATGTTTTTATTTTCCCAACGGTTTTAATTTAATTTAAAATTTTTAATATTTTTTTATTTTAATTTTATTTCCAACTTTCACTGTTTCCTGTCTTTTTATCTCTTTTTTTTATTGCCTTTTACTTCTCTTTTATTTCTCTTTGTCTCATGGGCGCTGGGAGCTGAGTTCCCCCCAGGTGCTG